TTTAAAATGGATCCTAAATTGAATAGGCAGCCAGTGGAGTGAGGCTAAAATGGGGGAAATGTGCTCATGTTTACGTGTGCCAGTTAGTACTTTATTGATCAAAATATCAGTGAATCTGTTTGTTCTCGGTATCAAAAGGCAGATGAAACAAGAACAGTTTTACATAAAAGCTGTAGAGGATCAGTGTCCTCCCACAGCACACACGAGGACATAAAACCAGGTGATAAAAACATTACAAACAGATCTGCTCTCTCAAGAAAAACAGGTTGGTTAAAGACCTGTAAAAAAACAGAAGTGATGAGCCTTAGGTGTGTTGTATAAAGTCAGCTCAGTTAACGGTTGCAGACGTTCGGCTCCCTTCAGAGGAGCACACATTTATTTCCGTCTGTACGCCGTGTTGAGCACACTGGAAGCCATAAAGAACGAGGCGCTTCATGACTCTTTTTTTTCCTCCCGCAGCTCTGATCTCGATCTCGCTGAAGCTCATATTTTTGCACTGAGAGGCGTCTTGCTGTTGCTAGGCAACGCGTAATCAGCTCTAAATCAGTTGTGTGCAGGCGAGCTACACGCCACAACTATCAACAGCAGCTACGTTCAGGCAATCCAATGCAGCACGAACCGATTTTAAAACTTACATAAAGCTCCAAACACGCGTCTTTTTTTTTCTAAACCGGATGTTTCTTTTGAATGACATTGTTGTTTCTGTCTGCGAGGTTACATCATAGCTGCGGCTGCTCAGCAACAAGAACCATTGGACCTGTCCTCTATCTCTGGTGTTGATTGTTGGGTTCTTCCTGGTGAGAGAAATAGACGTCATGAGCATTCATTGGCTCGGAGTTGACCTCTCTCAACCCGAGGTGATCAGAGCTGAACGAAACAGGCTGCTGCCTCGGCCTGGCAGTCATTAGCATGGATGACACCATGCTGTCATCTATAGGAGTCCGATCCCACTGGTGCCAGCCAAAGTGCTTTAGAGCCTTATGGAGGAGTGCTGTTCGAATTCATCAAGGTCAGATAGTAATTGACCTGGAAAAAAAGATGGCCATGAAAAAGAGCACATTAGTTCATTGGAAAACCGCCTCCGAAAAATGACTAACATGTTGTTAGAGACTGGATCAATAAGGCTTCAAGGTCCAGTGTGAAACATTTAGGAAGATCTACAGGCAGAACTGGAATATAATATAAATAATGTTTGTATTCAGGTACAATCACCTGAAAATGAGAATGCTTATGTTTCTGTATCATGGGGTCCTCGTGTTAGACTGCTGCTTCTACAGTAGTTGCTTGGAAGGGGAGGGTGAAGTGAGGGAGTGGCAATATCCACATACACAGCTTGATGCCTCTAAATCCTACACACTGGTGTTTTAAATGTCTACTGACAGAAACTAAATGTCTCAAGTGGCGTAGAAGAATCCTAACTGGGACGAGTTGGAGAGACTCGAAACACTGATAAGATATTCCTTTAATAGTCTAATATTACAGCAGCAAAGTGGATAGAGAAAAAAACAGTATAAAGACAGTAAGAGTATGAAAATATAATATAATATAATATAATATAATATAAATACTGTACAAGAGGAAAAACGGTAAAAACTTTGTTCCCCAGGGGTTACTACGACGTGATGGGGCACTTTGACAGCACGTTCAACTGCTCCAAGGGCAGCTACATCTACTGCTGTGGTACCTGCCACTACCGGTTCTGCTGCGAGCACCAGAGGAGCCGGTTGGACCAGGAGTCCTGCAACAACTACCACTCCCCCGTCTGGGCCGACCCGCAGGTCCCCGTCACCGTGCCCGTGGGCAACAAGCCCGACCCGGACTTTGAGACGCTCCAGCAGCAGAACAGCAGGTCAGAACCTGGACTCGTTTGTGACTGTTTGTATTCTTGTGGTTTACAGAAGATTTTCAGGATACACTGACCTCTTTTTGTGTGCTCGTACACACGTTCGATTCCCTGCCGTACACCTTATGTCAACAACATCTTTATTCCTCTGAACACAGTACGGCCTACGTGATCGGAGGGGTGATCTCCTTCACGCTGGTGGTGGCGGTGGGCGTCAGGATCGCCTTCAGCAAGGTGGCGCGCCGACCCCGCAACAGGGACATCAACATGCCCAGGTCAGTGATTCAGACAGAACAGAGAACAAAGCGTGGAGAACATCAGACAGGAACCGACGAGAGGAGAAGCTGTTTTAGTTCGAACCAGGACAAAATCAAGCTGTCCATGGAACTGTAACATCGCTGGCTTTATCTGTCTGTTACGTAACGCCACTCAGGCTCTCAAACGTAGATCTCTATTACACAAAGACTCTTCTCAAATGAGACTGGAATAAGAGTAGTGTATCATTCGAATATGTACGCGTGTCTGAAAAGGGTCGGTCTCTTTTGCTCGCTCTGAACTTCAACGGAAAGTTTACTCGGTTGCATTTTTGCATTTGTTCAGTCACACTGACGGCAAACAACATGCAGCTTGTTAGTGGCTGCAGGGTTAGTCAGAAATATCAGATTCTCGTCTTTCTAACTTCAGAGGAGCTAATGCACCTTACCATGTCTTAAAACCAGAGTAGGTTTCTATTGAGTGTCCATACGGAAGAATAATGTCTAGACTGTGTGGATATTAGCAGGCAAGAAGGGAATTTCAAGAAATCTTAGATCCGTGAATTCGAGGAAACGGAAGTGGCAGCTGTCTGGAGTATTGACGATTCGATCAGTTTGCCTCTGAGAGATCTGAAGGATTGATATGAATCAACAAAAGATAAAGGACAAGTTCAGAAACAACGCAGTCTGGGTTTTAGGAGCTGGCTGGATGTTTGTTTCCTCCACATTCATATTCATTGTCTCTGTCTGACCTTTTGTCTTTCTCTTTACCCTCTCCTTTCTCCTCCTCTGCTGTGTCAGATCACTGGTGGATATCTTGCGTCACCAGTCGAGCCCGGTGCAGCCGGGAGAGAGGAACAACTCCACCACCACCTCAGACGGACGAACATCCAAAAACCTCTACACCCCCGTCCTGCAGAGCAAAGACAACCGCAGTAAGTGACGAGAACCTCCCCTTAAAACTCA